GCTATGTATTGCAGCTCTCTGTCAGATATCATCCATACTGGATATCCATGCAATAACTTGATTATGTTCTTTAGGAAGGACCAAGTTGTTTGGACTACAGAACACAGTCATGGACATAGGGCTAAGTGGTACTATCTAACTGAACTAAGTTGATCCGCATTGGTGAAAAGGATTGAGCTGCCAAGAATGGAGGTGAGTCAGGCATGAGATCTGCCCCCTGATCAAAATCGAGGCTGTAGAGAAAGTGACAAGGGTCTCATGGAAAACCCGCAGCTTATGATTGGGTTTCTTAGTATGCTAGCCCTTAGCACAGACCTTGCTGTGGCACATGTTCAACTTTGGCTACCAAAAGTAGCCTGTCAATAAATGTTAAGCATCTGCTATGTGCCAGGCACTGTACGAAGCACTAGGGATACAAAAAGAAGCAATAGATAGTCCTTACCCTCCAGGAGCTCACAATCTAATGAAGACAACAAGCAAACAAATGTGTACAAACAAGCTATTTGCAGGTTAAATAGTAAGAGAGGGAAGGCACTAGAATTAAGGAGGTTTGGGAAAGGCTCCATGTAGAAGATGGGATTATAGCTAGAACTTAAAGGAAGCCAGGATACTGAGATAAGGAAGGAGAGGATGCCAGGCACAGTAGTTCTGAGTTAATTCTTTTGCCTACTCATCCTCCCCACCCCACACTGTGAGCCCTGTGAGCAAGTCATTATGATTAATCCACATAATCTTCTCTGAGTAGTATGAAGACACTATCTTCCATCCATTGAAATGCTGTAGCCCCAGGTCCCCTGCACAAAGATTGTTTTCATCTTTCCCCCTCTGCCCAATCTCTTAAATCTATGCTCTAGGGCAATATATCTACCAGGATATTCTTGTCCCCCAGAACCTGAACTGCTCAGAGCAGGAGAACAGAAGCATTCATTGTTCGTGCTAGCTGAGCAGGATATATGGTCCCTTTTTTGTTTGTTGGTTTTAATTGACCTGTGATTTCATTAGTGTAGGGAGTTGCCAGGGAGAGACTTCCTCTACCAATGTGAGTTGGCACTTCTTCAGCAACTCCTAATCTTAAGGAGTTTCCAGGGCCACCTAGCCAGTATGTGTCAAGTGACTCTTGAACCCAGGGCTTCCTTCCTCTGAGATCAGCTCTGCATTCACTTGCCATGCTGCCTCTTCCCTTAAAATATCAAATATTTATGATCTGTGAAATCTGTTATGGCTTTCAAGACCCTCTAGATAATGCCACCCTGCCCCTAAAGCTGTCTCAATAGCCAATACCTCTCTGTCCGTAGCTATTATTCTTTTCTGTGGGGGTTACAATAGATGGCACAAATAGTAGACAATAAATAGTGGCACCATCTTGGGATTTGGGATCTCCCCCCTTTTTTTATTTTTGCAACTCTCTGGTTAAGGTTGCTCCAAAGATCACTTCTGTTTCTAAGAAAAATGCCTGGGAAGGGGCAAGATGTCATAAAAGAAAAGATGCTTTTTTCAAGTCTCAGAAGGCACACTTCTTCTTCTAGTTTCCAATGGAATCTGGAGCCTTTTCATAAAAATAAACCAGGAGTTCCTCCAGTCACAGTCAGAGGATTTTGCCCAGAGCTTTGTTCAACAGGAAATAAATCTCCAAACTACGTTTCCCAGAAGCCTGAGAAGTCAAGTCAATAAGCATTTATTAAGCACCTAATATGTGCCAGACACTTTACTAAGTGCTAATACATCATGGATACATTGCCCAGGGACTGAGTGATGGGGGATCTCCAGCATGAAAAAAATTTTAAAGCATTGGCATGGGGGGCTCTTGCGGAAGCATCAGATTGCAGGTGTCAAGGAGGCATATGACTAGAACACAAGGTAATATATAGGCAGGAACAGTAGCAACCAGAAGCCAGGGAGAAAAGCAGTCAGACCAGCCATAGAGAGCAGCCATCTACAGCCAATTGTCAGGAGCCAGCCACAGGGAGCTGCCGCAGCATTCTACGACCGAAAACACTCACTACCCTGTAGTGAGGCTTCCTGCCATCTGTTGTGAGTAATTGCTGCATTTGCCTCTTGTCATTTTGCAGAGACTTAGGAGTTAATCAGGAGTGTTGCTAAAGCTCCCTGGGAGATATATACATATAAGATGGACTACATCTATTTGTAAATGGGATCTGAGAACAGTTAATATCCAATTTAATTTCATTATTATTATTTTGTCAAATGTCTTTGCTTTGCATTTGTCATCTGGTTTGGTTTAGTTTTAAAAAAAAAGTATCAATGGGGGCTCGTAAGCAGTGATTTTAAAAATACCATGAGAGAAATATGGACTTATATTGCACTGATGCAAAGTGAAGTAAGCAGAGCTAGAAAAACAATATACACAACTATAGCATATAAATAGAAAGAACAACAATGAAAAAATAAAAATGAGTATTGCAAAATTACAAAGAACAAGTATGGCCCAAAGAAGAGATACAACAAGACATCTCCTCATTTGCAGAGGCGGATGATCCACAAGTGTAAAACATCACACATAGTTTCAGATTTTTTCAATATATCATTTTTGCCTATTTTTTCTTTTAAAAATTCTTTGTTATATGGAATGGCTCACTGAAAGGAAGAAAAGACATATGGAGGAAATTTAAGCAATATAAAAATAAGATACCAATAAAAATGTCATCTACAGAAGTCAAAAGACATCACCCAGTAGTCATAGTGGTCTCCCTAAAGCCAGCCTTTCGTTTTGACAATCCATCCGTACACTGATGACTAATTAATATTCTTTTTTTTTTTTTTGCTTTTTGGTGAGGTGATTGGGGTTAAGTGACTTGCCCAGGGTCACACAGCTAGTAAGTGTCAAGTGTCTGAGGTCGCATTTGAACTCAAGTCCTCCTGACTCCAAGGTTGGAGCTCTACCCACTGGGCCACCTAGCTGCCCCACCTAATTAATATTCTTAAAGCCTACATCTGATCACATCACTCTGTTCAACAGACTTGAGTGGTTCCCTCTTTCCTCTGTGGTGATTAAAAAGATTCAAGAGACATAGTTTCTGGGTAACTTAATCATTTTAGTAATAAGGCCAGCATGTTTATTAATAAAAAGATGGCCGTTTGTACTTAGACCAAAGACAATCATGGCTGTGGGCTCAGGGCTTTTGTGTTCTTTTGGAAGAAGAGTGGCAATCAACTCTGATTGGTTAATAATTAATGAGAGAAAGAATATCACAAGGAGGGGCTGAGAGTGACATCATATCACCCTTGGACACAGAGACTATCTCTGTACCCAGACCATCCCCAGCCCTGGGCAGTCTATTCAAAGAATGCATGTCCTACCAAGCCTGAGCAGAACATAATGGCTACCCTGCTTGGGTAGCATCTGAACAAGAAAGTTAGTCCAATCTCATTATCAGCATTGTCCTTCAAGAAACTGAACTTTCAAAAATCAGGACTTTAGAAAAAGGGGAGAAGTCTGAGTCTTCCCAAATCATTGGTTATTGATAATCATTTCTCATTCATAGGATAACAGTTTTCCTCTGGCATTTCAAGCCCCTCGCAGTCTGGCTCCAGCCTATCTTTCCAAGCCTATTCTCCCTCTCACATATGTGATAGTCCCAGTATGCGACATTCCACCTCTGTGATGAAAATACATTTTTTAAAATTACAAAGTAAGTTTGTGGGTAGGGGAGGTACTAATAACTGGGGGAAGTCAGGAAGGACTTTGGATTCTGAAGGGAGCTAGGAATTGCAAGAAGCAGATGTGAGGAAGGAGAGCATTGTATGCGTGGGGTGGAGGTGGGGGGTGGCCTGTGCAAAAGGATGGGGGCAACAGATGGAATGTTATGTACTGGGACTATCAAATAAGCCAACTTGACCAGGATGGGGGGTATGAGAAAGGGAATCATGGGTTGCTCTCACAACCTCCATTTGACTTTTTCTGGCTGTCCCCCATGCCTGCAACGCTTCCCTCCTCAAGTCCATCTCCCAGCTTCCCTGGCTTCCTTCAGATCTCAGTTAAAGCCCCACCTTCTACAGGAAACTTTTTTTTTTCCAAATAAGTTTATTTTTTTATTTTTCTTTAGAATAATATTTCAATTTTCACCCAGTTACATGTAAAAACAATTTTTAAATGCCAAATAGAAAATTTTAAATTTGATCCAGGAGGTAATAGGGAGGCAGTGGAGCTCATAGGGCAGGTCAGACTTAATGTCAGAAAAATCATCTTGACAGATGAGTGGAAAATGGATTGGAGAGGGGACACAGGAGCAGAGAGATCAGAGAGAAGTGGTCCTGGCAAGATGTGATACAGGCTGAACTAAGGTTTTGGCTGTATGAGTAAAGAGAAAGGAACAATAGGAGAGATAATAACAGTAACAATAATAATAACTAACATCTATAGAGAGCTTGCTATGTGCCAGGTACTTTACAATTACTGTGTCATTTGACCTTCATAACAAACCTGGGAGGTAGGTGCTATTATTATTATCCCCATTTTACAGATTAAAAAAAAACTGAGGCAAACAGTGACTTGCCTAGGGTCATACAGTTGGTAAGTTTCAGAGAGATGTTGTGAGGATAAGCAACACAAGATTTGGCAGTGGATTGAATATGTGAGGTTAGGGAGATTGGGGAGTAGAGGTTTGCAGACCTCCGTGACTGGAAGGATGACCAAAGTAGGGAAGTTTGGAAGAGGAGGAGATGCGGGGGGGGGGGGTTGGTGAGTCCAATCCCCTCATTTTACCGGTGGAGAAACTGAGGCACAGGGAGATTAAGTGATAAGAGGAATGCTGGAGGGAAGGAGGAGGAGGGAACTGGAAGGCCCTGGGATCGATTGTGGGTTCTTTTATGCATTGAAAACAGCGGTACAGGTGGGAATGCAATTCCAGGCGGGGTACAAATCTCTGAAACCAGACGCATTTGCACACGGCAGCAGCGGGCAAGTCTGGAGGCGTGCGACAGTTGTCACTGCAATGCGCCCGAGCCTCTCGGCTCACAGATGGGGTGGGGGAGGCGGCCGGAGACGTGCGCAAGGGAGAACAAGGCGGGGACGGGGGTTTGCACTCACTCCCTCAGTCCTGCAGCTATAAAACTCCAGGTACCTGCTGCACCGACGCCAGGCTCAGAAGAATCAGCTGGACATCTGTGGCTACCGTCTGCACTGCACCAACGCTGAACGCCCCCGAGCCATGGATCCCCCAAAACTGCAGCTGCCCTGCTGGTGAGAAGGGATGGAGGGGAGAAAAATAGTGTCCCTGCTGCTCCCCAGCAATGAGCCACCCGCTGCTGCCCTGGGGTTCCGGGGGGCGGGGGAGAGGGGGAGCTGGAGCAGGGAAAAGGATGCCTGCACAGATGGTCTTTTGCTTTAGTGTTAACTAGAGCCCCACTATAGAATGCATCATCTGAGGGTACCCCATAAATCTGTACCCTCTCCCTTATCTCCTTTGGAGAGTGATGCGTGAAGGTAATGCGTTCCCTTCCTACCCTTCAGAAGACCCTTCTGCCTGGAAGCCTGAGGGATGGAGGACGGGGAGGCTTTCCAAGCAATGGTCAAAAACATGGCGAATTATCTTTCCGATAGATCTTGGACTTAGAGCTGTAAGGGGCCTAAGAAATAATGCAGCCTATTCCCCTCATCTTAGAACAATGAGCAGACTGAGTGATGACTCTCCCTCAGGTGACCTAAGTAGCAGAATCCAGGCCCCGTGATTGCGGAGCTAGCATTCTTTCCATAACAGTGCATTGTCCTAGGAAATTGGGATTGCCTTCTACTGATCTGTTTCGTTTTTTTTTTCCTTTACTTTCCTAGGGGGCCCTTGCACCTGTTCTGGCAATTGCAAATGCAAAGACTGCAAATGCACTTCTTGCCAGAAAGGAGGTGAGTGTGGCCTTTAGGTAAATCCACTCTTCCTCCCTTCTCCCCCCTCCCCCACCCAAAGAACTTGGACCCTGGACTGAGAGGGAGGTTGAAAAGCCATCCCGGGGCAGCTAGGTGGTCTAGGTGGTGCAGTGGATAAACCACCTATCCGGAAGCCAGGAGAACCTGAGTTCAAATTCGACCTCCAGACACTAGCTGTGTGACACTGGGCAAGTCATTTAACCCTGCTTACCTTTAAAAAAACAAATCCAGAAAAATCATCTGGTCATCATCTTGGTGTGAGGCAGGGTGACCCCTCAGTCATATCTGGGGCCAAGTAGGCTAGATTGTGGGAGAAAACTGAAGACTTTATGGTTTGGGGCCAGCTCAGATTTCCCTTCTTCCTCCCCCAGCCCCCTCATCCTCTAAGCTCTCTAAGTGCCTCTGTTGCCACAGTCATAGAGGGCTGAACCCAGCTGCTCTTGGTCCCCAGTGAGCAGCACAAGTAAGTCTAGAGGCCCAGGGAGACACAGAAGGTCCATGGCTCTGCCACCCGAGACCATGGCAGCCTCACTAAATCTGTCAGAGCAGAGCAGAGCTCTCTGAAGCCCAGCCTCAGGAGTTTGGGATCTTGCTTTGCAGGTTGCCTTGGAAATTCCCTATCAACCCCTTTCCCTAGAAGACCCATGAGTTCTTGCCTTCCACCTCCTGATAGTTGTTTTAGCCTCTAAATGCACTTTCCTCTGCTGTCCTGTTCCATAACCTTCTCCCTATCCCCCATTTTGGGTACACTGCTGTCTGGCCAAATCTCCTCTAGAGGGTCTGGTGGTCCCAGACCTTGGGTTCTTTTGGTTTTTGGTAACATTCCCTAAACCTAAAAAAAAAAGTCAGTACCCCTTCCCCAACCCCTTCCCCAACTTTATATATACTCATAGGGAAAACTTTTTGCAAGTTTAGAATATTAGAAGGCATCTTAATTATCATAGCCTGTAAAAGATCATAGTGTCATATTTAGAACTGGAAGGGCCATGAGATGTCATCTAATCCTTCCATTTTAAAGATGAGGAAACTGAGGTCAGAGAGGTTATACCTTCTCCAAGGTAGCATAACTCAGTAGAACCAGAACTAGAATTATTAGAGTCATGATACTCTCTCTCTCTCTCTCTCTCTCTCTCTCTCTCTCTCTCTCTCTCTCTCTCTCTCTCTCTCTCTCCCTCTCTCTCTCTCTCTTTCACTCTCTCTCTCTCTCTCTCTCTTCTCTCTCTCTCTCTCTCTCTCTCTCTCTCTCTCTCTCTTTCTCTTGCTCTCCCCTTCTTTCCCCTAGCATCCTTCCTAAGAGAGACAGCTCTACCTTGACCATCCAATGCCCCTGTCCTCTGCTTTCACACTGGGCTGTATAATGGGTTGTTATGGTTCTTTTCCTTCCCTCTCTCTCTCTCCTTAGGCCGCACTACCTGCTGCCCTGCTCAGTGTCCTAAGTGTTCCAAGGAGTGCACTTGCAAAGGCCATGACAAAGGCAGCTGCTGCCATTGAGAGAGCTGCTGGCTTCTTGTAAATATAACCATTGTTTCCTAGAGGCATGAGTGATGTACCTTGCCTGCCCTAAAATGTGTTCATGTGTTTTCAAATGACAATAAACTCAGTGAACAAAATAAATTCCTGGTTTGTTATTCCTCTGAAGGGGTATATCACTAGGGTGGAAGGAAGCAGGGGAAAGGGTGGGTAAAATTCACAGACTTAGGTGATTTGGGGCTGGAAAGGGCCTTCCATCATCAAGCTGCCCTTTCTATATGTTGGATAACTGAAAAGGGGAGTCCTTGAGTCCTTCTTTTCTCTTGTTTCAGTATATTTGAGAACTATGGGAGATGGAATCTAATTGGTTTGGATTTAGGTTCTACAAATACATTATCTACTGTGTTCAGAGCATTGGTTCAGAACCTCTGCCAGATGATTTTGCCTCTTGTAGTGGATGCTTGGGCTACTTCCTTTAAAAAGAAATGCTAATTATAATTTTTTTTTCTCAGCCCTTTGAACAGCAGGGGCTTTCAAATCTAAGCCTTTTTTTTTTAAGCCTGGGTTTCTATAGCTTTTACAAAGCTGCCAAGGCCTGTAATTCAGAAGAGTGGGCAGGGTGCCACACAGTTCCCTAGACCTTTCTGTCTGTTTCCCTTACTGCCACTCAAACAGCAGTCACCACAGATCAGGTCCTCTATCACCTCTGTCAAGTAGACACTTAATATAGCCTCCCAGAAGATCTCTCTACTTCAGTATTTTTCCCTTCTGCAGTCTATCTTCCCTCTACCAAGAAGCCAAAATAGTCTTCTAAAGATAGCTGACATCAAAGTGCATAGAGAGAGCCTCGGGCCTGGATCAAGGAAGGAAGACCTGAGTTCATATTTGGCCTCAGTCACTTACTAGCTATGTGACTTTGGGCAAGTCATTTAACCTATTTTCCTCAATTCCTTCAACTGCTAATTGAAGATAATAATAGCACCTACCTTGCAAGGTTGTTGTGAGGATCAAATAAGAAAATACTTGTAAAAAGCCATCAGCACTGTGCCTTGCTATATAAATACAAATAGTCCCATATACATCCTTACTCTCTCTCTCTCTCTTCTCTCTCTCTCTCTCTCTCTCTCTCTCTCTCTCTCTCTCTCTCTCTCTCTCTCTCTCTCTCTCTTTCACACACACACACACACACACACACACCCCAGTCACACCCATTTCCCCTTAAGGATTTATTTTGGTTTTGAGAATGGGATTCCCCAGCTCACCTAGACTAGAAGTGTAGCAGCTACTACCTCATGCTGATCCCCATGGAAGTTTTGGCTTGCTCCATTATTCCAAGCTGGGCAGGTTCACCGCTCTTTAGGAAGCAGCCCTCTTTTTCTTGGGCTCACCATGTTGGTGCAGACCCCAGATGGTCTTTAGCTGGAGGATAGCTTAGAACTACTTTCAGCAATCCTCTGGCTCAACCTCAGCCTCCCCAGCAGCAAGGAGTACCAGGAAGTTGTACTGCAGGCATAAGCCTGTACCACAACGGGGACAAGAGGAAGACAGAGACCTTCTCCTGGACCAGCCCTTCTCCAAGAGACAACCCCTCCCCAGGGGACACCTGGCCTCTCATCTGCCTATCCTGCCTCATTGTCTCTGCCTCTACGTCCCTCCCTCCGGTTAGGGGTAACATCCCTGCCTCTGCCCTCCTCCACCTCGAGTAGACGTCTCTGCAGATACGTTCACCCTGTTCTTTGCACTCCCTTTTCTGCGGGTCACTGCCAGCGCAGAGAGGAGCGAGGATAAGATCATTGGTGGTCAAGAGTGTATTCCGCACTCCCATCCCTGGCAGGCTGCGCTGTTCATCAATCAGAACTTCCACTGTGGGGGTGTCTTGCTGTCCAATCACTGGGTCCTCACGGCAGCTCACTGTAACCACTGGAACCTTCAAGTGGTCTTGGGAAAACATAGTATCACGCCTGGAGGCCTATCAGCAATCGTTCAAGGTGGAGCACCGGGTATCCTACCCCACATACAACCGCAGGAACAGCGACAATGACCTCATGCTGCTCTACCTGCAGAAGCCAGTGAGGCTGACCCCCCAGGTTCGCCCCATTCAGCTGGCCAAAGACTGTGTCAATCCCGGCACAACCTGCCTGGTGTCCGGCTGGGGTACCGTGTCGAGTCCGTTTATCAGATATCCCAGCGCCCTCCAATGCATGAAGATTGGTATCATATCTACAGAAGAATGCAAAAATGCTTACCAAAAAACCATCACTCCTGGCATGGTCTGGGGTCGAGGAAGGTGGGAGGGACTCGTGCCAGGGTGACTCCGGAGGCCCCTTGGTGTGCAATTGGGCCCTGCAGGTCTTGGTGTCTTTGGGCATGGAACGCTGTGCCCTGCCCAGGTTTCCCGGTGTTTACACCAACCTCTGCCGTTACCAGACCTGGATCCTAAAGGAAATGCAGAAGAATTGATGAGCTCCCACCACACTCCCAGGAAAATTGCCCAGTTCAACCTGTCCTCAGTCCTGCCCTCAGGGACAGGTGGCCCCCCCGAAACTACAACCCTACATCCTACAAAGGAACCTTCCCCCTCCCCCAAGGACAGGACTCAGCCATCCTGACTTGCCAACCACGGACCTCTGGAGGACCCATCTCTAGTACGGATTTGGATTCATGGAAAGAGAATCAAAAGGATTTAGAGATGGAAAGAACTTTAGACCCTGAAAGCGCAGGCTGGAAAGGACCTTTTAGTAAGACCATATCCTCGAATTTCTACAAATGGGGAAACTGAGGGTAAGCATGATCTCCTAATGTCACATAGCTAGGATGTAACAATTCAAGACTGGTGTTCTTTCCCTGATCCTGAGGTCTGAAGGCAGATTTATCCCAGACCTCCCAGGTACTCTAGCCACTTTCGTGAATCCACTGCCTTGCTCAGGTATCCAAAATAATAGGTAACTTAATTGGTCCCTCTTGGTCACCCCTCCCCAACAGTCACAGATTAATAAAACCTATAGGACTTCCTTTGTGGGGAAAAAAAAAAAGCCTGTACCACAATGACCAGCCAGCCTACTTAAGAATTTTCAATGCTTCCCTACTGCTTCTAGAGTAAAATAGAAATTTCAGGGCTTGACATCTAAAGATCCTTATGATTGTCTGATCTAGCCTACCTTTCCAAACTTTTCCTCTCTCCTACAAGCTGCAGTACAGTAATAACAGCTTACTGCTTTGTTTTCCAAATTTAGCCAGCTCTTGCCTCTCTGCTTTGAACAGACTGCCCCTTCTCTGTAATGCCTTCTCACCTTTGTGCCTTCAATCCTTTTCCTTTATTAAGGCTCACTCTAGGTGCCAGTGCCTATGTGAAAGTTGACCTGATTCCCCTATATTGGTAGTGCCCCATCCCACCCCAAAATGTCTTGACCTTATCTTAGCAACAACTAGGTGGCTCAGTGAGTAGGGTGACTAGAGCACTGGTCCTGGAGTCAGGAAAACCCTAGTTCAAATCTGGCCTCGAACACTAGTTTTCTGACCCCTCTCTGCCTCACTTTCCTTAACTGTAAAATGGGGATAATGGCACTTCACAGGTTGTTGCTAAGATCAGATTAGATATTTATAAAGTACTTAGCATATAGTTGTCGTTGTTCAGTCTTGTCTTCCGTGACACCATTTGAGGTTTTCTTGGCAAAGATAGTGGAGTGGTTTGACATTTCCTTCTCCAGCTCATTTTACAGATGAGGAAACTTAGACAAACAGGGTTAAGTGGCTTGTCCAGGGTCACACTGCTAGGATTTGAATCCTGTGCTCTATTCATTGTACAACCTTGGTTACCCTAATATGTAGTAGGTGCTTATAAATGCTCAGTCCCTCCCCTCCTCTACTTCCCCCAGTCATTATTTTATTCTTTAGAAGGACAAGCACCTACTTTTCTTGTTTATCTTTCTAACTCTGGTCTCTTGCACAAGGGCCATTTAAAGTATTACCTAATTGAATGAAAATGGCCTTGGTTAGAGAGCTGTGGAGCTAAGACTCTTCTCCTCCTCCACATTAAGCCTATTTATAAATCCAATTACTCCTTCCTTCTTCATTCTTCTCACTTAGTTTCTCCATAAAGGAAGAAGGGTAATCAGAACCCAGTCCTTCCTAGTTTCAGGCCTAGGGGTTACAGAAACGAAGTATTCAATCTCATTTGGCTCAGAAGAATGAGGTGTAAGAAATGAAAGGTGGTAGGGAAAGGACCCCAGGTTAACAGCCAGTTTATTGCAAAGGTTGGGCATTAGGAATGCAAAGTAACCTACACTAAAGCCACTAGGATTCTTGATCCAAGTTTCACATTTTGCTGCCTACACGTTCAAGTACGTTGATAAAGTAGGGAATTGAACATAGACATGTAGAATGGAGTGTCCTCTCCACCCCCACCCCCCAAATTGCCTAGAATTTATGGAGTATATTTTTGTACATACTTTAACTGGGTACCTATTCTCTCATTAAATAGAATACAAGAGCCTTTAGGGCAGGCACTGTTTTATTTTTGTTATTTTATTTGCAATGCCTGGCTCACAGAATGAAATGAATTTTAACTGATTGCCAAATACTTTCACAGCAGTCTTATGATTTGAGTGCAGGACCTTAAACATATAATATCTTTGCATGGAGTAAGTACTTAATTAATACTTGTAGATATGGATGGATAAACCGAGTTGTAAGATTATGGCTCATACTTAGGACATTGATGAATACTATTAGTATTACTGTTCCTAAATAAAAACCCCTGTGAACTGCTAAAACAGATGAAACCCCAGGTCCAAAAAAGGGGACCCTGGAATGAGCTAGAATCCAATTACAATTTACAGACATCGTATCTGCATTTATTACCTGAGAAGAAGATGCTTGAAAACTTGAGAGCAGTGAGAGACAAAGTTCTCAGCTGCTTAAAGGGAGAGGGGGAACAGGTGAAATATTTAAACAAATTTGAGGTATTTATGATTATTTAAGGAATTCATAGCTAAGTGGGGGGGGGGTAGGGAGAAATACAATAGATCAGGATGTCAGGGAAGTAGGGGTCTAGGGAGAAGACATCTGCAAACACAACCAAGCAGAAAGCAGGATGTTTGCTGATCTTTAGATAGGTTAGGACCCTAGATGTCTGCTGCTCTTTC